ATATATTTTTTTGGAAAGCAACCCAGTCACCCCATGCATAACACTCAAATACAAAGACTGCACCACCCATGTGAAGTATTGTCGCGGACGGCGGAGTAAGGGCAAAAAAGCTAGGGCCACCATTAACTATAAACTGATGGCCTATAAAAGCTTTTAAAGTGTTGCCTAGGGACACTTTTGGGTACTGTATTCTCTCCCTATTTCACAGTGAGCACACCATTTTAAAGCCTGACATGTTTGGTATCTCCATACTCAACACAACCCCATTTTTTTGTTAAATTATAGTTATATTGAGTTTGTTGAGTTTGTGCACACTAAAATTCAATTTAGTGTATCTTCCCTGAAAATATAGGTTTGATAAACAATTGCACAAATATTGTGCAATATAAAAAATTGCAACTGCCACTATTTTATTCTACAGAGCCTCTGATTTCAGAAAAAAATAGGCTTTGAAAAGATTTTTAATTTCCATGGTATACCTGTAGGCTGTGTGTGGCCTCTCCTCAGCCTGTCTGTAAAACAGCTAGAATGGGCCCCATAAGAGCATCCCCATCAGCGCAGGAATGAGCGCTCTGACTTTTTTAAACCCTATGCATGCGCAGTGTGTAATCTCTCCTACTGTCGCACAATGCTGAACTCAGCCACTGCCATGACAGAATGAGAGAGTGCACTGCACATGCACAGGCTGTGAACAAGCCAGAGCACTTGTTTCTGTGCTAATGGGGATGCAAATCTGAAGTAAAAAAAAAAAAGTTGTAAAATAATAAAGTTAAATTAAATAAATAAATTATTTAAAAATAAAGTTAAAATAAAACACCAAAAAATATTAAAAGTTCCCCGCCCCCACAAACGCATGCATACTAACATAAAACACTCATCAAGTGCACCTGTGCATGAAAACAATGATTGTGCTACACTGCACTGCATGCACCAGAGTGAGAGTAATATTTCTAGGTCCAATGTTCATGGATAACTATAAACTGATTACCTGTACAGGCTTTTAAAAAGTGTCGCCCATGGGACTTTGGGATACTGTATTTTGTCACTGTTTCAGGGGTGCGCACCATTTTTACACTTGGCATTTTGGGTATCTAATTACTCGACACAACCTCATCTTTTATATTATACCAAAAATTGTGTAGTATATTGTGTTTTTGTGCACTGAAATTAACTTATTTGTGATTTTTACTGACATTTTGGGTTTGATAGATCGATTCCTTTCAAGAAATACATAACTCTGGGGGATTTTAAGTAATTTTCAGGCCTAAAATGGATTATAGCATGTGTGCAAAAAAAACCGCATTGGCAGCGAAAGGGTTAACATATGTTAACTACAGGATGACCTCTTACGCTATACAGAAAACACAGAAAAAAATTATTTCGCATTCAAACGTTTGTGGTACAAGGTTGATCCGCATAAAACAGATATTTTAGTTTAGCTAGTAGGCTGAATCACCTGTAAACGTACTATGTGATTCAGGGAGTGAGATATCTGCCCCAATGTCTGTTCACATGTCATTTCCTTTTTACATTTATTTTGCATTATGAAAACCGGTGCGAGAGCAGTAGTGATTTGTGGAACACAGTTAAAAACCTAATTGTCTCTGGAGACTCTAAAAGGTGCCCACACACCTTGCGATAATCGTACGATAATCGCGTGAAATCCCGCGATCGTACAATTATCGTAAGGTGTATGGAAGCCGTGCGACCTCTACTACTGTAAGGTTGCACAACTTTTATCTTATGAACATGTTCGAAAACCCGCCGAGCATTGTACGATGTTCGGCAGGTGTGTAGCATGTTCGTACGATAAAAGCCGGACGGGCCGGTGTGTGCACGCGCACACTGCCCGTTCGGCATTGCGGTCATCGGAAGCCCGTCTCTTAGGGGGGTGCGGCTTGCGATCATCGCAAGTACGATCTGCCTGCCCAAGATAGGCAGATCGTACGTTTTTTTAATTACCTTACAACCATCGCAGGACAAAAGTATTGCGATGGTTGTAAGGTGTGTGCCCAGCCTAAATTATGTCAGAAGCCAAAGGGGAAATCAATGTACCGAAAAATAAAAAATAGGTTTGGGAGACCTAATTCATAAATATACAGTAGGTAAAACAAAAATTATACACAAAAACTCTTCACATATTTTGCTGCAAAAAACAATGTAAAGGGAGATGTACAAATAATGTACACATACCTGTGTAAGCTCCAGCAGCCTTCTTTTGTCGGTTTGGGCAATATAACATAATATGGGTAAGCAGCACTACCAGGTCAGACAGTGACACTGCTTCTGGAACAAATGTAAAAACCAAATGAAAATTTGTTTTTCTCTCTTTAAAAGGAAACCAGATATGAGAGAAGATTGGATGCTGCCATTTCTAGCATCACATTCTGAAAATGCTAGTTGCTTGGCTGTCATGTTGATTTTCCAACTTGAACGCAAAATTACTCACTGGCCCACAGCAAGTACAGAAGTTCTCATTTTCCTCTGATATTACAAGACTTCTAAATTCCCTCTGATATTACTTGCTGCTTACTTACAAATAAGTAACTTAAGGTATTAGTGGAGAAGTAACAGCCAGGTAGCTAGCATGTTTTATGATTTTTTTAAAGTAAAAAATTAAGCATAAAAACAATGATCTTCTTAGAAAATACAAAGCATAATGAAGAAAACAAATGTCCAATAACGTAGAAAATACATGTATTGCAAACACCTTTATCAATTTGTCTTTTTTAAATATTCGTTTTTTAAATAAATACAAAATTGATAAACTGAAACTAGATCTATAATTATAACATCCCATCCCACTGATAAAATCTGTAAATTATTATACAGATAATAGTCTAGACTTGGACAATGATATGCTCTCACTGGCCCAGGCCAGAAATGTTTTTAAGGTTTGACAATCTGCCATCTTGTAGCACACACAGAATGAAGCTCATTCTGAGTATATGTGCCAAAGTGGTTGAGGTTACTTATTCTCTATTTTGCACCTGCATAAGGAGTCGGGAGATGGGCTGTAAGGAGATGGGTTACTGCAACATGTTATTATTGCCCAGATTTGGGCCAGCTTATAGCAGTGACAATAAATGATTGGAGTGACAACATCACTGTGGGTACTTGGACAACAAAGAACAGGTTCACTTATAGCTTTGTTTTTTAATAAACCTCTAAAAAATAAATTGTATATCTTCTGCTTTTCTTAGTAATAAAAAAAACATTGTTTGCATTGGAGGTCTGTTTATTCGTTTATATTTTTTATCAGTAAGAAAGGGAGATAAGAGAGTATATTGTGAATATAATATAATACAACCCCAATTCCCAAAAAGTTGTGACTCTGTAAAATCTACATAAAAACAGAATGCAATGATTTGCAAATCTCATAAACCCAGATTTTAGTTACAATTGAAAACAGAAACCATATCAAATACTTAAACTGAGAAAAAGTACCATTTTACGAAAAAAATAAGGTAATTTTGGATTTGATGGCAGCAACATATCTCAAAAAACCTGGGACAGGGCCATGTTTACCACCGTGTAGCATCCCCTCTTCTTTTAACAACATTCTGTAAACATCTGGGAACTGAGGAGACCAGTTGCTGGCGTTTTGGGAGAGAAATGTTGTCCCATTCTTGCTTGATATAAGATTTTAACTGCTCAACAGTTCTGGGTCTTTTGTCGTATTTTTCGTTTCAAAATGCGCCAAATATTTTCAATTGGCGAAAAGTCTGGACTGCAGGCAGGGCAGCTTTTTTCTCAAAATAGTACATTTTCTCAGTTTAAACATTTGATATGTTTTCTATTGTTGGTATACTCACAGTCATGAACAGTTCTGCCATTATTTATATGGAGTTGTTCTTTAACCACAACCCCTGTAAGAATTCACACTGACTTTCAGCTTCTGCTAGCTTTTTTGAGAACCCGCAAAACCAGTAATTATGACCTTAACCACCTTATAAATACAAAATTCTAATTTTCACTTGAAAAAATCAAATCTGTATAATTTAGCATTCTAAAACGAACCTAAAATATATTGCATACTGACAGATCTTTCTTTGGGGGAATTATTGCCATTTCAAGATTCTGGAAGAATATACAGCCTCATGTAGACTATTTTTCAATTATGTGAAACAAAAAGTTATAAAGATAAGTAACAAATGTAAAGAACTTGTATATGTAATTACCATTAGAATTTAATTTTTTTTTTAAGAAGAAAACTAGCAGTAGAAAAGTTATTATTCATAGTCATTGTGACAACATTTTACTCCTAAGTACCTTTTCGGTTCTTCAATTTTATAGGAAACAGGTTTCTGCCATGTTTATATATCAGCAATCTTCCGAGTAGGCTAAGTGAATGAACAAAGTATAAATAATGTAATTCCTTTCTGGAGTAGAATGTCTTCTGTTTAGTGCCTGGAGAGAAACAGGAGACACACACATAATTAAGGTTCTGTAGATGCACATGGAAATGTGACATTTTCTTTGACTGACACCAACAGCATAGAGAATAATAGATGTTTCACTTTCTGTCAAATAAGATCTTAGTCTCGGTCAAAATTACTAGCCTAACGGAACATGAAACTAATATATAATTCCCATCAGCCAGTGTGTTTACTGCTGCAAGGGACAGCTGTATGCACAAGTCAACAAAACATTACTAAGAATTTCAGAGCGTATCCTATAGTGGACTTAATTTACTAAGTCACAGAAAGGCAGGATAATCTTGCATGCATTTCTCTGCATATTTGCCACTAGTAACATTGTTTTATGTGTTTTATACCCCAGCTAAAATTTTACTTTAGTAGGTTCCTGTTAAGTTCTAGGACAATGCTCTTGACCTATATGTTGAAATGCTTCATCGGGGCATAAGATCAAAATCATGTCAAGCTGTCAGTGGCTGGCTTACTATTACTGACAATTCCACTTAAACTACACAGTGCGTATAATGTATGCCTGTCAACGTGGTGGTCATGACCCTCCACTGCTCTTATCTAGCTTCTGATAGCTGTACAAATATTCAAATATTTCAACGATGGTCAGTAATCTTTTAATTTAATGTTATAACTAATATCAGAAAAAAATGTGTTTTTTCCTACTTAGTGTAGTAGTAATAAACTAAACAGTAATAACTGCATTTAAAGAACAAGTTTAGGTTTAAAACCAAATTCCCCTAGTCAACCTCCCTAGCCCCCTCAATACAAAAAGCTGGGTCCACCCCCAGTTCCCCGCACAGATCCATACTTACTCCTCAGACAGTTGGCTGTGCGTGCACCTCAACATCCCATAGATTTAAAATGGATGTACCTGGATAGCAGGAGCAGTATCACATTTAATTATATGGGATGTTGATGTGTGGGCAGCCTGGCACTAGATTTTTTTTTCTCACCTTGAAGATGGTGCAGGTG